TAATATATAAGCATACATACAATCCTTGGAGCCTTGCACTCACTTAGAGTCTTTGATTTGTCGAACAATATCTTGCTCAATTTCTTGGTTTATAATGTCAACCGTGCTAACAAGCCTAGATAAGGCGGAATGTAAATATCGAAAGAGCAGAGTAAAACATGATAACTCATATTTGATTTATTTATATTTTATTTACATTGCGCTGCACATACTTTTCGCCATTTTCCACCTTGTTTTCTTTATTTTTATTCATTTATATTTGTGTTGTCGTTGCATTTGCTCTTCTCCCGTAGACTTATCAGCAGACTTTGACATCGGGGACATGTAAATAATTTATATGGCATACCCTGTTATATGTGTAATTTATGACAGGGTACACCCAGCTGGCACACACACACACACATGAGCTCGAGGTGTTAGCTGTTATTGTGCTCCGTCCTCGCTCTTATCAATGTCAGAGAAAGACGAGAGGGAGAGAGAGAGCGAGGAAGGGAGAGAGGTTAGACAACGATCAATCTATCTTGTTCTAGCTGCCAGCAACAGTTACCGGGCAAATGTCAAGAATTTTTAGTTGATTTAGTTATTAAAACGATCTATAATAGAAAATAAAAACAAAATATTCAGTTGATGATACGAACTTAATATGCTCGTAATGAAGTTTTATGTCTCTTTAGCATAGATATTTGTTTAAATGTTGCCAAACAAAACTAAATTAAATAATTTATCTTAAAATTGTTCGCACTAAGCTTATAAACAATTTCGCTTACTTAAAGTAATAACTCTTGAGTCAACAGATTTATGGTACTGTCCGCATTGCAATTAAACATTTCTTAGATTTAATTATGGAAAACATTTACATGTTACATAAATGTCAAAGAGATATGCAACTGTTATGCATTATGTATATATATATTTATATATATTTATGCTGAAAAATGTTTATATTGAGTTAACCATTCGCCCGCTCAGTCACATGAATTGTAGCGCATCGTTCGCTTCGTTCGAGTCGAAGCAGAAATACTTTTCTTTACCTTTTATTTATATTTTTTGTTATTTCGTTGCTCGTTGCTTGTTATCAGCACAGCGGGCAATTCAATGTAAATAGTAATAAACTTATTTACACCCACACACACGCACATGCACACGCACACGCACACGCACACACACACAGCCAAGCACAACTAATTGCTGTTTACTCTGCGCGCAATTTTCTTTTCAACGCATTTTCAGTAAAAACTGAAATCGACTTTTGTCGACGAAGACAGCGTGAAGTAGAAGCTCTCTCTGTCCCACTCTGTCTCTCTTGCCCTCTCTCTCTCTCTTGCATTGCATGTTGCAGTTTATGTTGGGCCCAAAGATAAGAGACCACTAATCTCTATATGTTTGCCTCTACGCTTTATATTTGTTTACTTTGCCGAGAAATAAATAAAACTGCATTGACATAGTAAAGAAGAAGAACAAGGAGAACAATGATAAATAGTTGAGGAAAAACACGAAATTGAAATAAAAACGCTGCGTAGTAAACAAACGACGCTCATAAACATTTAATTAACTTTTATGAACTGTGTAAATTGTGGGCCAAAGGCAGCTTTGAATGCCCTAACAAATATGGACTTGAATAAAGGCTAGAAATATCAAATGTCTTCGGGAGCAAATTAAAAGATGTCGAATTCAACTGAATTGAACGACTCTTAAGCTGTACAAAATGGAATACATCCAGAGTTTGGGTACTTAAAATTTAATTTTCACTCAATTATTTTAAGCGACAAACTGGAATTTAAATTCGGTCCAGAAATTACCAATCCTAAATGGCATTTCCTAATAAACAGTTAATGGCATCTAAACACTCAACTGTGCTTTAGTTAAACCCAATACATACTTTAATACAAACTACCTTTGCAGACCTGGTTTCTTGCACCTTCTAATAATACTCTCAGCTCTGCTTTTCTATTCTCAATTTGCAAACAGCATTATAAAAGTTCAAACATTGAAGGCTTTTAAAGCCGTATTGAAATCTATTTACATCTAATGGCAAAATTTGTTTCATAATTAACTTAATATTTGTATCCAAATAAAATATATATTTTCAATTAAGTTGATAGAGTATTTACGTTTCGATGTTGCCTCAATTCAGCTTTGTTTTTTATACGTATTCATAAAAACTTCAAGCCCGTTTGCAATTGCAATTGTGGTTGCTGTTGTTGTTGGCCATGGCCTATGCAAACAGCGTGCAAGAAGAACAAAATCTTGGCAATACCTAGTCATATAGGTGCATATAGCTGTATGTTGGCGTAGGTTTTGTTTGTTTGGCATATTATCATAAGAAAATCTGTGCACAAATCATTTTTCCGATTTTCAATTGCGTGCAAATTTATTTAAATTTCATTTATTTATGCCTCTTTTGTGGCACCTGCGACATGCAAATGTTTTTAGAAAGCTTTCGCAGCAACTGGCCCCCAGCTCCCCAGCCGAGCTGCGCTCCTCGTAGTTTGGGTAAATATACATAAATGGCTCCAATGGCTCTGTTTGCTCAAATTATTTTGTTGCTTTGTCACCAGCTGAGGTCGAGAGGCATTTGAATGCCAATTGGACAGCTCCTTGTTGTAGTTGTGTTTGCATTGCATTATACTGGCCAAGACCTAACACACACACGCACACACACACCGGCACACACACAGACAGAGGGTGCTGGGAAAATATTTTACACATGTGGAAAATATAAATCATATTTTTGCTGGCAATTTGCACAAACGATTTGGTTTGTTGTTCTATGCAAACTTTCATCTGTTTGTGCAAAATTTATTTATTGTCTGCGCAAATTCGAGAAATAAGCCTTTTTAATTGGCCAATCCGTATCAGCAGACAATCGGTGCCCACATAACTAGCTCAAGAGCCAACAGCATTAGGACTCCAATTAAAGAATTAAGTTCGGCTTCCAATTATTCCAATTACGTTCCAAATTGGAGGAAATCATTATCACCCTTTGCATTTGCTAAGTACAGAAGCCGAAATTGTTATTCGATCGAGTTTATCAATGGGCCAAATTTAGAAACAAAAGTTATCTCCGGGTAGCAATTAGTGCACATTTTGATAAATACACAATAAACAATTAGTCATACTTCACTATATATAATATATAATAAATATATATGATATAGACGCACAATTAAAAATATTTATATATATTTTAAAATTGATTATAAATAATTATTAAAAATACAATCAGAAATATACATAAATATTAAAATTTAAATATATATAAAGCATAAATATTGCATTATAATTGCATTTTTAATTATATTTATTTTTAATCGATTTAAAATTGTGTTAAAAATACAATATTATTAAAAACATTTATATATATTAAAACAATACATAAATATTTTTAATTCTACTTTTAATTATATTTTTTTTTTAATTGATCTTAAATAGATTCTGATTGACTTTAAAATTATTTTTATTGATTTTAAAATGTTTTCTTATCAAGAAAAATAAAGTTGGTTTAAGATAAAAATATATTATTGGAATAGTGGAATAGCTCAACATTGCCAATGATTTTTTATTGATTTTAAAATGTTTTCTTATCAAGAAAAATATATTTTGTTTAAAATAAAAATATATTATTGGAATAGTGGAATAGCTCAACATTGCCAATGATTTTTTATTGATTTTAAAATGTTTTCTTATCAAGAAAAATATATTTTGTTTAAAATAAAAATATATTATTGGAATAGTGGAATAGCTCAACGTTGCCAATGATTTTTTATTGATTTTAAAATTTTTTCTTATGAAGAAAAATAAATTTTGTTTGAAATAAAAATATATTATTGGAATAGTGGAATAGCTCAACGTTGCCAATGATTTTTTATTGATTTTAAAAATTTTTCTTATCACGAAAAATTAATTTTGCTTAACAAAAATATTGGTATAGGGAGCAGGTCATTTATATGGAATAGCTCAACATTGGCATTGACTTTTGTGTGGCCAAAATACTCCGTTTGCTTCATGAGCGAGTATAAATGCAAATATGACTTTGGTCTTAGCATGAACTAAATAAATATGCAACGAGTCTCGACTGAAACTAAAAAAATATACGTGTTAAAATATTTGCAATTTATTTGTTATATTTGTAGTATAAATGATTTTTATTTAACCATTCAGTTCGCTTTTCATCGAATAAGCTTTAATTTTGTAGAGCATAATTTAAAAATTTTGTATTATAGAAAAAGCAAAAGCAACTGCGACTATAAAATACAAATAGCTTCGAAGCAGCTCTTTTGCTTCGCAAGCGACAAACGTCTTTTATAAACATAAATTTTCAGAGCCTTTAATGGTGCGCGCAACATATTTTAGACCAAGTAGCAACTGCAGCAGCAGCAGCAGCGGCGGCAACAACAACAATAAATGGCAACCGCAGCTGTTATTTCTCTTTGTTGTTGTTGCTGCTGCTGCATTTTTGCCATGCTCGTTTTTTTTATGTATTTTGCTGCACAAATAAATTGCACATAAATCGCTGGCCACATAAATTTTACATGTTGCCGGCGTGCAGACTCGAAAAAAAGAAACAAGTCGAAATTATGTGTCCGCTGCAAGCATAAATTATACAAAGAGCCAGAGAGAGAGAGAGGGAGAGAGAGGGAGGGCAGGCTGCAGCTGAATGTGTGGCAATTAAAATATTTGCGCGTCTAACAACAAATCTCCTTGATTATAGAAATAAAATGAAATTATTCAACTAATTGCAGCACTAAGTAGAACTGCTCTGGGCGAGGCAGATTGGGATTGCGATTGCACAATTAGGTTTTCGAGCAGCTTGCGTTGCCGAAAGGCAAATAGTAATAAAGGCGACTCTGCTGTTGCGAAGGTCAAGCTTTAGGCACCCACCATAAAGCTGCAACAACAGCAACAACTGCAACAACTGCAACAACTGTTTATTGCTGCCTTTATTTAGTTGTGTATTTGAAAGCGTTTTAACAATTTGTCAACTTTTATTTTATTTGCAGTCACGCGCCCGCAAAACCTCCACCAAAGCAAATAAACTGAATGCAGCCGCTGTTGGGATTGCAGCCGCATCAGCAACATCGCCACGTCTAAGTCCAACGCCAGCAACAGCAACATTGTTGCCGCAGCAATCGCCAAATACCACAACAACAACAGTTGCAGCCGCTGGTAGCTTGCAGCAGCAACAGTATCAGCAACAGCAACTGCAACAGCAACTGTTGTCACATCAGCAACAGCCGCAGCAGCAGCAGCAGCTACAGCAGCAACATCAGCAGCAGTCGCAGCACTATCAGCAGCAACAAGAGCCACAGCAGCATTTTCACCAACAGCAACATTTGCAGCAGCAGCAGCATCAATCGCAGCACCATCAGCAGCAGCACGTGCAGCAGCAACAGCAGCAACATTTGCATCAACAGCAACATCAAATAACCGCACAAATACAAACCATGAAGGATCAACCGCAACAACCCATGGTAAGTAACACAACAACAACATTCAACAGCTAAAAACTATGCTTGTTGCATTTGCAATTTCCAATTAAAACAACAACAACAACAACAACCATAAGAACAACTATAGCAGCAACGAGCATTGACCTTCAATCAGTGCATCTCTCTGAAATAAAAACAGCAATAGCAAATAACATAAATTAAAACTCAATAACGCCCATGGCCAACGCTGCGTATACGTCACACACGACCAATCAGCTGCAGCTGTGCACACAGAGCGCAAAACGAACGCAAATAAATGCTGTGCAGAGGGACGTACGCAAAAGCAAACTACACACACACACGCAGACAGACACACACGGACAGACACACATGTGTTCATTCATAAACAATTTTTCGATTTTTATCAATGATTGCTAAATGCTTTCAAAAATAAACACAGACCACACAACAGCAGCAGCAGCAGCAGCAACAGCAACATCAGCAGCAGCTGTCATCACCAGGTGCACATTTCCACATACACACCCTCACACACACACACATACACGTACACGTATATATACTAGGCAAAATAAAGTCTATTTTTACAATATAAATATCAAACACAACCCCAAAGCGAAATGGACTGTAAAACTTGGCCCACAGCAAAAAATGAAATAAAAACTTAAATATTTTGTAGCTAAATACATTTATATATATATATATATTTATTTAAATACTTATATATATTTATTTGATTTTATTGTGTGTCTGGCAGAAGCTGCTGTCGGTGTGTGCCCACAACTTTCGCTTTCATAATTTGGGCGTTCAAATGTTGTAGTATAATTCTATGGGCAGGTCGAGTTTGGCTCGTTGTTGTTGTTGCTTTTCTGTTTTGATATTATTGCTGTCCGTTTATTTGATTTTGAAGCTGGGGCCAATTAATAGGTCGCCTAATTAGGGTGCGGCGTATTTGATTTATGCCCCACAGCAACAGGAGCAAATAAAAACAGCGGCAACAGAAAAGCAATTTTTAAAAGGCAACTCCTGAAAGGGTTGTTAACAGAGAGGGCTCTTAATGCCTAAAGTGGGTTGGGCGCTTGCCAACGATAGACTTTGAGCTGTGTCATAAACAGGTTTGCCTAATAGTTTGTAACTAAATATGTAACTAGGCAATGTGCCCTTGTTTTGTTAGCTTCATACTAAAATATTGGGGCGAACCAGGGGTTGAAAATATGAAATAGAGTCCTTAGCTCAGTTTTGGATAGGTTCTTTATTGAAAAGGAGTTATGAATAGCTAACTAAATACGAATACTTGCCGGGACTTGGAACTTAAAACTCATTCCAAGTGAGCTAAAGCTCAATAAAGAGAAATTTGTTGGCTGAATCTGAATCTTTTTGCTTTCTGATTGCTCGACGAATGCTGTCTTATAGTATTACCATATAGATAAGTCTTACACCTAGGTATTTGGCTAAAAGAATTGCTTAACTTATTCCCTACACAGGCACCTATGGCCTTCTATCCGACATGGCAGGCGGATCCGTCACAGGGCTGGCAGAACCAGTTCATACAGCAAATACCACAGAATACTCCAGCCATCACATCACTCAACTCCTTGGATTTCCAGACACAGTCCTACGCCTATCCATCAAATGGCTATGTGCAGACGGGTCTCGGCTTCGATCCCAATTATGGCCGCTCCCCTTACGGCGCGCCCGTGCAGCGCTACGACTTCCAGAGCCAACAGCTCTCGAGTGCACCTATCAATCAGGTGGGTCTGCAAAGTGTCGCCGCCGGCTTCCCTCCCGGCGGCGTTAGCTATGCCGGGCAGGTGTCTACGGCGCCGGCGCCGCCAGCAGTTGGCCTGCAGCAGCAACAGCAGCAGCAGCAACAGCATCTTGGCGGGGATCTGAACAAAAGCATGTCGGGAAACGACACGCCTGGATATCCGCGGGTGAGCAGCGTGCCGCCGCGCTCACTCAACTGTAACGGGTATCCAGGCGATTTCAGCGGTTCTCAGCAGCAGCAGCAGCAGCAGCAACAGCCACAACAGCAACAACAACAGACGACAACAGCAGCACCCAGTGGCGCAGCCACGCCCACAGCCACTGGGCCTGGTAACACGGTGGTCTCGCAGCCAGCCAGCTCACCAATGCAGCAACAGGCCCAAACGGTGCCCCCCTCGCCCACACGCAGCCTCATACAGCAGCAGCAGCAGCAGCAACAGCAACAACAGCAGCAGCAGCAGCAGCCACGCCTTGTCTCCCAGTCGCCCAGTCAGGTGCCGCAATCGCCGAATGGCAACGGGCTTCAGCCGTACGGCAGCAACGTGCAGCCACAGCAACAGACGCACCCACATCTCGCCTCGCCGCCTATGCAGGACTGGAACTGGAGCAATCAGCAGCAACAGCAACAGCAACAGCAACAGCCGCCGTCTGCACAGCAGCAGCAGCAGCTGACGAGCGATGGCTACCCGGCACAGGGTCACGGCGAGCGCTTACATCTGAATACGCGCATCAAGTCCATGATTATGCGCAAGAGCGACTCGAAGGATGCGCCGCCCGATATTCAGCTGCAGGGCCAGGCAACTGCCGCAACTGCCGCGCAGCAGCAGCAACAGCAAACCGGTCATTTTTTATCGTATAGCCACCATCTCCGGCCCGAGACGGCGCTGAGCGCCAACGGCTCGAGCAGCATCGCACCACCGCTGGGCGGTGCCGAGCCCATCGGAGGTGGTGGCGATCAAATCTGGAAGCCGCACCACGCCAATTCGTTTAAGAAGCCCAGCGTGGGCAGCGGCTACGCCGGCACAGACCATCAGCTGCAGCTGCAGCTGCAGCAACACCAGCCAGGACAACACACGACCATCAGCCATGCGGAGCAGCCACCCCAGCCACCATCAATGCCCATACAGCCACCGGTTCAGCCACAGCCCAAGAAGTCGCGCAGCCGCAGCAAGGCGAGCCGTGCCGCTGCAGCTGCCGCAGAAGCAGCGGCCGCCGAAATTGAAAGGGATCGCAATGCCAACGATCCGGGTGGCGGGGGACTCAAGGCTCTAGGAGCACATTATCCGCCACCGCCGGGCAGCGGACAGGAGTACCACGGCCAATATATCAAAACGGAGCCAGGCCTCTTACCACCGCCGCCGCCGCCGGGCGCACAGCCCAACAAGATGGAAGGGTACGAGCGCAACTACCAGAACTTCATTCAGTACGCCGACTTTTGCCAGAACGACGGACAGGGCCAGCCGGTGCAACAGCACCAGCAGGAGTATACCGGCTACCATCACAACTCGCCGTACTACGGCGCGGGCGCCGGTAGCTTCCAGCAGAACTTTCAGCAGAGCTTTGTGCCCGGCTATCAAGCTGCAGCGGCCTATGGTAGCCGTGGTAAGCCGCCGTCGAACTCTGTGCACCACGGGCCGCACGGTCATGGCCACGGCAACAGCATGCTGGAGCTGGACAGGAAGCCGGACACGAACAGCATTATCCCACTGCCCACCAACTACGAGCAGGACATACCAGCGCATGCGTATCCCATTCCGGCTCATCGTTATGCGCTGGGACATGGAGCACCACCACCGCCGCCCCACCTCAGCCACCACGGTATGCTGGAGTCCAAGCTGGACGACATGGGCATGCTGAGCCACGGTCACGGCCACGGCCATGGCCATGGCTATGCCTATCTTGGCGAGGGTAAGCCGCTTAACAATGGCTTCTCCTGCTGCCGGCAAGGAGGTACCCGACCACCCACAGAGGAACATCTGAAGGGCGGCACGTGCCTGGGCCTGGGCATTCAGCCCAAGGAGGAGCTGCTGGACGAGGATGAACTGGCCGAAGCGCACAATGGCGTTAAGGCCAAATCGAAGAAACAAAAGCAGGATGAGATACCTGAGATAATTGTGAAGCACGAGAAAATTAATCCCATGTTCGACACGACGGATCGCCTCGAAAAGGGCAACAAAACGGAAATACCCGAATGCGAGTGCTTCCAGTCCGACAAGAATCCACCTGAGCCGGGCACCTACTATACGCATTTGGGTAAGTAAAGAGTCCTTTTGCAACGGGTCTTTACAGCAGAGGCTGATCTCTGAGACTCGTGGCCTAATCCCACTTTCATTCCCCATAGGCACTGCATCAACGTTGATGGAGCTTCGTCGGGAGTTCGAGGATCGCTGCCATCTAACGGGTCGTCAGCTGCGCATCGAGAAGATTGTCTACACGGGCAAGGAGGGCAAGACCACGCAGGGCTGCCCGGTAGCCAAGTGGGTGATCAGGCGCGCCGATCCCGAAGAGAAGATACTTGTGGTTGTCAAGAAGCGTCCCGGTCACAGGTAAGCCGCCAGCATCAACGGATCAATCAGTGTGTGTGCAACAGGAATCTCATTTCAGATGTATTGCCGCCTACATTGTGGTGTGCATGGTGGCCTGGGATGGGATGCCTCGCAAGGAGGCGGACGATGCCTATGTAAACTTGATACCCAAGCTCAATAAGTTCGGTCTACCCACAACGCGCCGTTGCGCGACCAATGAAAATCGCACCTGTGCCTGCCAAGGTAAGCCTGCCTGCTGCCCCGTCCACTTTCCGTGCTTTCATAAATGAATTCACTTGTTGCAGGGCTGGATCCGGAGTCATCGGGCGCCTCGTACAGCTTTGGCTGCAGCTGGTCCATGTACTACAATGGCTGCAAGTACGCCCGCTCGAAGACTGTGCGCAAGTTTAGGCTGTCGGTGAAGAGCGAGGAGGCAGCAATTGAGGATCACATGAATCTGATTGCCACGCTGCTGGCTCCGGTGTTTAAGCAGGTGTGCCCGCGCTCCTATGACAATCAGACCAAGTACGAGCATGAGGCCTCCGACTGCCGCCTCGGCCTCGAGCCGGGCAAGCCCTTCTCAGGGGTAACCGCCTGCCTCGACTTCTGTGCCCACTCGCATCGCGACCTGCACAACATGCAGGACGGCTGCACTGTGCATGTGGCCCTGCTCAAGCCCAGCAATCGCGACAGCCACCTGCCCGACGACGAGCAGTTCCACGTCCTGCCGCTCTACACGATGGACGGCACGGATGAGTTCGAGAGCGTCGAGGGGCAGCGTGATAAGCATCGCACCGGTGCTGTGCAAATGCTGGACAAGTGAGTGTAGTGTTGAGTTTTGAGCTACCAATTGCAGCTCGGCCTTTTAGCGACCAGCATTAACCTGTCTCTCTCCCGCCTACAGATTTCCCTGCGAAGTACGCGTGCGCTCCACGCCGCTGATACCTTGTCGCCGGCATGGCAAGAAGCGCAAGGAGGACGAGTCCGCGACGCCGGATGGCGACCAGGACGCCGCCGCCGATGGCAGCAGTCAGAGCTCCAGCAACGGCACGCAATCTCAGTCCCAGCAAGCGCCCACTCAGCAGAGCAGTCCTCCCGCCATGGCCGCTGTGCACATCAAGAAGGAAAACGGCGCCAGCAATGGCAGCAACAGCGGCAACAATGGCAGCAACAGCAACAGCAACAGCAACAACAAGTCAAAGTCGAAGGCTAAATCGAACTCCAGTGCATCCACGCCCGGGTCGGCGCCGCCAACGACGCCCTCGCCGCGCTGCCAGACGCCCGTCACCAACAATCCCAGTCCAGCGGGCAGTGCGTTTAGCACGCCCCCCGTTAATCAACACGTCGGCAACCCCAACGCCAACAACAACAGTTCGGCAACAGGTGCTGTGGCCGGTCCTCCGGGCGCACAGCCCAACCAGCTGATGAGCTCCAACTCGAGCCTCATGAACATGGCCACCATGATAGACACGTTCACGGACGCCCAGCTGCAGTCCAACCAGATCTCGAGCACCGTGCTGGACTCGCCTTACTCCTACGACTACCAGACGGGCTCCTACATCGACTCGCGCAACTACTACGGCAACTGGCCGGCCCATGCCATGGGCATGGCTGCTGGCAGTGCGGCCCTCACGCCGACGACGCCAACAGCCTCGATGGTGCAGCACACGCACACAGTGACGCCGCCGACAGCGGCAGCAGTGGCTGCTGCAGCTTCCCCGGCAGTTGCCACGGCAGCAACAGTTTCTCCAGCAGCCACAGCAACGGCGATGCCGCCCGTCACGCCCACCACGGTGACGCCAACGGCAGCTCAGCACGATTCCAGCAACGGCTACACGCCCAGCTACAACAATCTGGCAACGCCAGCACTGGGCACGCAGCAGCACCAACAGCAACAGCAGCAGCAGCAGCAGCTGCAACAGCAGCAACAGCAACAGCAGCAGCAGCAGCTGCAGCAACAACAGCATCAGCAGAAGCAGCAGCAGCAACAGCAGCAGCAGCAACAACAGCAACAACAGCAGAGCGGCGTCGATGTAGCCGCCGCTGTTGTTGGTGGTGAGCTCAAGAGTCGCGTCAGCGAGGAAAATCCCGACTCGACAACGTTGGTCAACCACTCACTGGTCGAGAGTAAGTTAACCGCTTTGACAGCCATGCAACCCATGACTAATCTAGCACCACCACTTCACCACCACCACCACCATCACCATCCGCACACGCCAGAGGGCTTCGTTAAGCCAAAGCCGCCGCCCAGCGACTACCAGTACACGCAGTATCCGAACAACTACCAGATGTACCCGCCTCCACCACCGCCGCCGCACTCGGCCTACTCCGCGTATGATGCCTACCAGAACATGAACTACAACTATGGCTACCATCATCAGGCGTACTCGCCGTACGGCATGTATCCGCAGCAGACGCCGCCGCCGACGCCGCCGCCGCCCTCGCCCAACTGGAATGTCTACGGACATCATCAGAGCTCGGGGGCCTACGGGCCAGGGGGTGGTGCAGCTGGCAGCACGATGTTGGCCACGCATGGGCCGGTGCCATCGGGTGCGACGCTGGTTAAGCCGACGGTGCCAACAGCTGTGCCGCAGCAGCAGCAACAGCAGCAGCAGCAGCAGCAACTGCAGCAGCCTCAGCAGCAACAGATGCAACAGCAGCAACAACAACAGTTGCCGGCAACACCGCCGCAAACGGTTTTGCCCGATTTGAGCAATGGTCAGCTGCCGGTGGAGCCTATTGTGACGCCCACCGCTGCGGGTGCTGTTGAAGCGCCGGCCCTTGGCAACAACAGCAACAACAGCAACAGCAGCAACAGCAACAGCAACGACGCCAACGGCAACACGACTGGCGCTGGCAGCAACACAACGGCAACAACTGTGGCGCCAGCCAGCACCAATTCGAGCAAGATCGAGCCCATTGGTGAGGTGGCCGAGATCAATGAGAACATTGAGGCGTTTCAGGATCCGCAGATGGGCGGTGTTGCCATTGCGCTGAACCATGGCAGTGTGCTAATCGAGTGCGCCAAGCACGAGATGCATGCGACGACAGCCGTGCGACGACCGGATCGTCATCAGCCCACGCGCATGACCCTGATCTTCTACCAGCATCGCAACTTGAATCGTGCCAGGCACGGCATCGACGAGTGGGAGGAAAAGATGCGCGTAAAGAAGATCAACACGGACCTCGACAACAAAGCCAAAGAGGAGCGCGAGCGCTTGCTGAAAAAGGCAGCTGGCGAGGATGACGAGGATGAGGACATGCCTGATGAGCAACTGGCAGTGACTGCAGCCCCAACGTTGCCCACCATCAAGAAGGAAAACAATGGCAGCGGCGGTGCCATTAAGAATGGCGCCAGTGGCAGCAAGAAAAAGAAAAGCGATGCCAACAAGAAAACCCAGCCGAACAACAACAACAGCACCAACAACAACAACAACAACAGCGAGCAGCCAAAAAACGAGAAAGTTGCCCTCCACGCACCAACACTAACAACAACGTCGTGGACGACCCTGTTCCCTATGCACCCATGCGTAGTTACGGGGCCCTACCAGGAGGGCAATAGCAGTCCAACATCGTCCACGAATGGCAGCGCAGCCAATGGCAACAGCAACGGCAACGGCAACAGCAACAGCAACAGCAACGCCAATGGCCCCGCGGCCCAGCAGCCAACGACTCCAGGGGCCGTGCCGCCGCCTCCACCGCCGCCACCGTTGCAGCAAACCTGAGCACCTACCATAGCCAGATGGGGTTAGGTGCCTACTACTACTGGTAGTTGTTTGACAAACGACTGAAAAATATTCTCATAATAATTATTTTTGTAAACGCGTCCTGATACCGTGTGCCATACGAGGGGTTGCGGAGCGAGCTAGCAAAGAGCAGCAGCCAGCAGTTGGACATGCCCTGCCAGCATGCAGTAATACACTACCAAAGCTCCACTACAATCACAGCAACTATAACAGCAACACACATACACTCACTCACTCACATGCCTAGTTCACAAACTGGATGAGCAATGCAGCTAGATTCATATATACATACATATAGAGGAGGAAGAAACCTATATTGTTGGCAATTTCTGTTAAATGATTTATTTTTACATTTTGTTCTCTCTTCTTTTTGTTAAGCATCAAAGAAAACAAACTACAAACAAACACTAGAAAACAAAACTGAGGAACTAAAACAAACATAAAACCTAATAAACTAAATTGCTAAATAATGTTTGCTTGAGTTTCTATCGTGAGCAAAAGAAAAGCGAAAGACAAATACAAAGCAAGTAAAACAAAAATAAATATTAGTGGAGGGATACTCGTAAAAGATCATTGCCAAAAGTACAAATAAACCAATTTTTAAAGCAAACTAGAAACAACGTAAACAATTTCGCAAACAACTAAACAAAATGCAAAAACAAAAACAATTATAAATAGTTGCTAACAATTTTTACTACACTGAAATAAAATATATTTTCCAATTAGCTTTTTACATTAGTTCAATTTGACTGTCTTTTGGCGCTGTTGCATACTTTGCAGCGCCAAGCGAATTCAAATTGGCAGCCAGCAGCAAATGCAGCTCTCTTGATACGCGAATCTCTTTTGATCGCCCGCCTTCTGCACCCAAGAGAGCTGCATTTGCGACATTTACTTTACCGTTAACTGCAAGCACTACATTCACAAACGAACACAAACACACACACACACGCGCAGACACACAGAAAGAGCGTTACAAAGGCAAACTAAAAAGCAAAAGAGAAATGAAGCAAATACAAAAAAAAAACAAATTCAATTTACATACAAGCATATTTCTATGTAGTATGTGTGCGTCAGCCGTGCCGAGTGAGCGCATCAAGAAGAGAGGAGGCTGGGGTGAGCAGCATTTTAAGCTAAGCGTACGTAAAGCATATAAATAATCAACGTGAATAATGAAAGAGAGAAGAAAATGATAGTGAAGCAAAGACGTGAGCAGCGCGTAAAGAATGAAGACATTTTTAAAATATTATTAATAAATTAAGTTTAAGTAAAAAAAAAAAAAAACATTACCCAGACATACACCTACGAAATAAAGAAGAAATTAAGTTTTATTTAAAAAGGTGCGCCCAGAAGAGCATAACTTTTTTTTCAAATAATATGTGCTGTAAATGTTGAAGCAAATTCGAAAAGAAAACTAAAAATCCAAAAAAAAGACTCGAAACCAAGCAAGTATTAAGTACACAACAACAACTATAAATTAACTAAAGGACAAAATATATTTGCTTATTCATTTCACGCATGAATTGTTGTAAAAAGCTAACTCAATAAATTAATTTACATCCATCCAAAAATAAAAAAAAGGAAAGCGAAATGGCAGCGCAACTGAATTTCAAATCAAATTAGTCTAAACAAAAAGAAAACTAATTATTTTGCACAAGAAATGGTTATTATATATAATAAAAATATATGTATACTTATGCTTATAATTTGAAATTATGAAGATGAAACAGAGAGAATCATAAATGTAAAACGTATGTATGTAAATGTAAGGCAGCGAAGAAGACTTTTGAGCAACAAGAAAAAACATGTTTTGATAAATATTTAAATGTTTATATATATAAATATAAATTATGATAATTGATAATTGATTAAATGATTATGCAAGCCAACAACTATTATAGTTTGTAAATGCTTTTTATATAATTTTCAAAATAAAAGAAAATCCAACATTTTGCCATTATTAATTTATAAACGAGTTTACTGTTTTTTTTTAGTTATTTATGGGAAATAAAAAACACAAATACGCATGTATATATATATAAATAATATATATATATGAACATATATATATATATTCAAAATATTGGCGTATATTAATTTTAATAAAATGTCAACAGAATGAAACAATAGAAACCCAATGCACGTAAAAGATCGACACAAAAAGTATGTAAGATGATATTGAGAATGGAGCTAATGCTGATGATAATGATGATGATGATGATGAAACATATTGTAAAACGATAAACAAAACATACAAGAAAAAGAAAATGAAAAAGAAATAAAAACTTATATAAAGAATATGAAATGAAACAAAAATTATATTTATTTAAAAGTACGCGTATTGAAAAGCAACACAGATATTAATATTAAATAAAGCGACAAACAAAGTTAAACACAAATCTTTGTCAACATTTACTATATAGTCACATTTATTATATGTTTATGTTAACTAGAAACTGACAATTGGAATGTGCGAAATATAAATTGGGACAGTCCTGCTTACGATCTATATATAGGTCTATGCAAATACTTATGTACAAACAACTACATAAAATTCAAAATTAGACTTCACAATTGCATTTTTAAGTACATGGCAAGTGTCGCGAGCGAATATCAAAACGAATCGAGGTTTATCTCTAAGTCTATGCTGTAGTTGTCCAGTGCTGTTTTGTTAATGAATCCGAAGTCCCATTGCATAAATAGGTTGCTCGCATTGCAAGCGTTGACCACCACCTCCTCGGTGACGGGCAGGAGCTCCATGCAGCGCTTAGCCTCTTTTCCGTGCTTAATCATTTTGGTATGGTAGTCGTAGTACCAATATTGATTGCCTTGCTGCCCGTGACAGTCCCACAGCCAAACAGGAGCGTTTGCATCCCATATTTGGACGTCCAGGCAGTCCTTTTTGCGACGCAGCCGCAAGTCCCTCTTCCAGCTTAGTGACCAGAACTGCGTCCGCTGCGGCTTCACCAGATTTTGTGCACAAGGATATATGCCTATCCGATTGTGCCGGGAACGGCTAAGCGTATCTAAGCACAATGAGGGGTCACCCTTATTCTGAATAGCGCCGCTGGCATAGTCGGGCGGATCGACGGGCGGATAATTCTTTATTAAGTCAAAGGCCACATTTTCCATGAACCACTTGAACGATTTACACTTGAGCTTCGTACGAATGGCTTTTTGTGCCGTTAGATCACCTGCATCCACACGATCGTAAATGCCGTCTGCGCTGTTATACAAGTAGCTCTTGTATTCGTCCATCCAAACCTCAGCCACCCGCTTGTAGTTCTATTAAAAGAATATCATATCTTATTGACTCGGCCTGACAGGTGATAAGAGTTATTCAATTACTCACTTTGTGCAAATAGTCGCCGTTGCGCGGATTGGACGCTTGTGTGCGTGGACCTCGATATATGTGACCTATTCGAGAGCAAGGCGCATCGTACATTTGCCCTCCACACATCCAGATTTTGAAGCTTAGCTCGTACTGCTCACCGCCCCAAATATCGAGACCCTCATCGTAGCCGCCCAACTCCCAAAAGAACTCTCTGGAAATCGCAAATAGTCCGCCTGCCATGATGGGACTCTTAAATGGCTCTGCAGGATGTTTCAAGTCCTCTGGAAGTAGTGGCAGTCGTTTGTAGAAAAAGTCCCAATCGAAGGCACCACGCGCGCCTTCGTCTTGAGCACGGTAATTAAAAGTGCTGTGATCAATCACATCAATAAACGGACAGACGGCGGTGCGTTTGTTTTGAGCAATCGGTTCCAGCAACGGGGGCAGCCAATTATAGTTGGCTTCGACGTGCGAGTCAAGAAATATGAGCACATCGGCAGTTGCGTTCCGTGCACCCGCAGAGCGAGCACCAATTAAGCCCGTTCGTCGTGGTAGCCGCACGACGCGCACTTTGCGGAAATGTTCCCTAATGTAATCCTCCAGCGGCTTGAAGAGGTAAGCACGATCACTGAAGTCATCCACGAGAATGATCTCCTTGAGCAGCTCTGGTGGCGAACGATTGATTAAGCTATGCACGGACCGCATTAGCACAGACAGATATTCATTATAAAAGATGATGACTACAGATACCGTAGGAAGCTTACTGAGATACAATTTCTTGTGGCAGCTGTTTGCAAAGAGAAGAGCGAATTAGACACAATAATAAGACGTGATACAAAGTATTCAATTTCAACGCACTTCTTATGTCGTATGTCAGGTAGCGAGCGATTCACTGATATGGCATCGGAGAGCAATGCATTAAATCCATTCTGGAGCGAAACAGTTTTTTCATATTGACGCTGACTCTCATCTTCCAGCTTGGCTGCCACACCATGCTCGCCGATGCCAACGCGCTTCCTGTCACGCTCTATTGCCGTGTAATCATGCCAGTCCCTCTTGAGCAGATTGTCGTCAGGTGCCGCGACCTGAAGATTGTCGTTTTCTTGCAACCTCTCTTTGGCTATGGGCTTTGCATCGAGCACCTCAAGTTCGGACTGGTCTGCTTCATCCTCTGGGTCGTCTCCCTTTTCAAGCTCCGCAGCATTTTCCTCTTCTTTCACAATGTTGTTCTTGTCATCATGAATTGGTCGAGGCAATTTAACATCTATGGCTTCTTCTATACGTTGCTCAGCAACCTTTATGGCTGATGGCTTCAAGGGCTCTGGTTGGATGCCATGATGTATCGGCTTATTTGTGTACGGCGTAGACGAAATCCAACTAGTGATAAGCAGGAAGAGCATCAGCGAGATCAGCACCAAAAATGACGATTTGATAATCCATTTGATATTCGGACGACGCATTCTGCTGGTAAATTCTTTTTTTTTCTTTAGTGTGGACACGTGTCAAGATCGCTAGCTAGCTGGTTGGCTACGCTGCCTGCGACCCACTGCTGCAACTAATACTAACAGAGAAATTCATGAGCAAGACGAAATGAAGAATGTTGCGTATTTGTTAGCTCAGCTGTTGTTTGTGTTGGTTCTGCTCTCTGTGTTTCGGCTTCTTTCCCGTCCAAATGGTTTTTACTAGTCAACTGCTAGCTGAAAGATTAGAGCAAAAAAAGAACACGTAGAGTTAAACACTTCACATATGAATTATTAGTACAGCATAGAAAAGATAATAATAAATATTGGTTTATAATCGTATGTATCGCTGCGTAATTAAACCCACGTCTTATCCAAAACCACTTTAATAAAACAGTCTTTTCGTTAGCTTCAATGCTGTGTATATTTTTGTGCAATCCATGCTGTTTAGTATACTTCTATCCATAGTTTATTTGTATGCTTCCACAGCGACCATGAGACATGAAGCTGGCCTTCCAGCCAAAGCTGTACTTTATAGCATGCCAAGAACACATCTGAGAAGGTCTCTGAGTCTGAGTCTCAGCCAACAACGTAATGCAATTTGTTAAGCTAAATTATTATTACAACTGCGATTACCTCTTAAACTTTCACTTCTCTAACTTCTAATATTATTTTATTTTATGGCAAGCTCAAGTACTATGTATCAGTTCTAGTACTACTTCAAACTCTACTACTACAAATGATACTACCACTACCTTACAATACATATATATATATATATAAATATCCTACTGGGTTTGTCGTTCTTTCAACTAATGGACTTCTGTTCGCTACGAATGTGAATGAAAACTGGGAAATAACTGCAAGTTCTCAAAATATGCCCTGAAACAAATCAACGCTTATGTACTTGTGATTGCGTGTGTGAGACAATTACACAAAAAGCAAAAGCAAACACAAACAAAACATTTCGCTGATAAGCGGCGACAACGCCGCGACGTCAGAAACCACCGTTGACATGCCAAATGGCAGTCGAAAATAGTTCTTAAGCAGTTAAGATAAACAATTTTTGTTTTAAATGGTAGACGACTTCCGGCAATTTTAAGTAAAAGCAATTGAAAGCACGTAAATAAACTGATTCATATTACCATATATACATATATACAATGTATACATGGAGGTTGTATACCAATTAAACATATTTGTTTACTTTTATTTTTGTTACTTTGATGTTTGCCATATACACAGCATTTGAACGTTACCTGTCATTTATTGTCATTGGAAGAACGTCACTGATTTTATTAAAAACTAAAGTTAAATACAAATCTAAACAACCAACCGCATCCACGTCCGCTAAATAAGTCTTCTTCTATTTGCACTAACAATTTGTGCTGCTTCTTGAATGCGCGCTATTCTTTTGCTATTCACAACGACGCGCTGTCATCCAAATCAGCTGCAGCATGTTGTCGATCTACCGGCGACAACAGTCAACAATATAAATAATTTTTGTATTTTGTTTATTTTTGAAAAAGGAGGTTCACCTCATTACAATGCTGTAATAATTATGTTTCCATGCCTACTAGTTAGCTATTTTCAACATTTTTAGCACTTCCTCCTTATATTTGGCTATGTTGTACTCATTTTCGCCCTCGTTAATCAACTTTTCCACGCTCTCAGCATAGGTAGCACTTGGCGCCTGCTTCTCTCCATTTACATTCCAATTAAGAATGGCTTCCGCAGAAAGTTTTGCTTTATTCCGTTCAAAAAGATAGACCTCCATGTCGGCCTCTGACTTGCTAGCTTCCCATGGCTCCGTAACGAAAGACTCGTGGTAACATGCCGTCAACAAATACAAAGCATAGTCGTAATTTTGTTTGCGCGTTGGGCAGCGATCAGCGGTGAATGTTAAGACTCCAGTCTCTTGGTTGTATCTCTCACCCACAAGACGTAGAAATTTATCCTTTGCATGTGCATCAAACTTCAAGTCGACCAAATTTAGCGTAATTGTGACACGACGAGCTTCCGGATGTCGTATTGTCGGTAGACTGTGGCAATAGTCCGTAGTGATGACCTCTACAGGAAAAATAGCTTTCCACGTGGCTTCTGATTCTAGACCCTTCGGCCATGGTGTGCAAAACTTCTTAATTGCCTCACATTGCTGCCGTATGGCCGGCGGCGTCAAATGCAAGAAATTAGGTATTTTCATTAATTCCGCATTCGCATATTTTGAGGGAGCAGCTGCCCCCCGCTCTGTGTAACCTTGACGCAAAGGCAGTGGCACGCTGGCAGGATGAAAAGAACGGGGTCCCGACCATACGGCTGACCAATCTTGATCAACAGGCATATGCGTTGTTCGAGGCGGGGGCACCGCGTCTTTCTTTATTACCCGCCTGCGCGCCTGTTGCTTAATAGTCCGTAGATTGAGCACTCTGAATTCTACAATTACAAGTTATTTAATTCATATATTGCTTTCACGTTTATTCAGTTTACCCTCATCGTCTTCCACCGATGACTGCTCCTGCTGGCTGCTAAATACCCGCATAGTACGTTGAGCTACTGTTGCTTTGCTGTTTCGTATATTACACTCGAGCAAGCGTACTAAATTAGTTGTCATTGTAAATTTCGATTTTTGAAGATTATGAAAACAAGTTATTTGCCTGTTTTTATAGAAAACTTAACAAATACAGTTTACGTAAACCATGGGATTGCAAACCGACATTCACAGCGATAACGTACACATCAGCTGTTTTGGTATCGATACCAAGTATATACGAGGCGTGATAATTTAGAATAGATAACAAGAGGGACGATGGGCAAAGAAAAATTTCAATTAACAGTTTGATTGTAGTCCAAGGTCAAAAACTGTTCAGTCTATTAATGTAAGAAAATTTAAATGCTATAAAGCTTGATACTAGTGCTTTGCTGATATCACATAGTATATTCCCCACTTGGCTGCTACAATCTATCGCTTATCAGCGAATTAATGCCGCCTGATGATAAGCCATCTGTCGCTTGTATCTCGCGACTGTATGCACAAGCGAATAAATCACTTTTGCTGAGTAGTTTATTCAACGACCAACTGGTTCTAAGAGAGCAGTTATTGCACTGATATTTTAGTTTCAACAGAGTCACAATTGCAATATGACTACAACCGGTATTAAGCGGGTCCTCTCCATTCAAAGCCACGTAGTGCACGGCTATGTGGGCAATAAGGTGGCTACTTTTCCTCTACAGGTGTGTTACATATACAATATTAAATTTAGTATACATTTGCACGACTTCAGTTAAATGTTCCCTGCTTTAGCTCCTCGGTTTCGATGTGGATCCGTTGAATTCCGTACAGTTTTCTAACCACACGGGCTACAAAACCTTCAAGGGTCCAATATCCACTGAATTAGAATTGGGTTAGTATATAAACAATGATAAATAAATATTAAGTAACAACTTCCTTACTGCTTAGCAAACATATTCGAGGGGCTGGAGGAGAATAATCTACTGGGACATTATTCCCATTTATTAACGGGATATATTGGCAATCCGTTATTCCTGCGAAAAGTAGGGGAAATTCTGCGAAAAATCCGTAAAGCAAATCCTAGTCTGATTTATGTATGTGATCCAGTCATGGGTGACAACGGCAGCATGTACGTTCCTAAGGAGCTACTGCCCGTATATCGGGATGAGATCATTCCATTAGCAGATATTGTAACGCCCAACCAATATGAAGTGGAGCTACTCACTGGCAAGGAGGTTCGCAGCGAGGCAGCTGTTTGGGAGGCAATGGATTGGTTCCATGAACGCAAAATAAAGACGGTTGTCATTTCCAGTAGTGACCTAGGTCAGCCGGGAATTCTTCGCGCGTTTCTCAGCCAGATAAATGGGCCACGGCTTGCAATCGATATTCCCAAGCAAGGCGACAAAGACCTGTTTTTCACTGGTACCGGGGATCTCTTTGCCTCACTCTTTTTGGCACACAGCCACGCCAGCGGTGATGTTACCGAAGCTTTCGAGAAGACCATTGCTACCCTGCAGGCCGTAATAAAGCGAACAGTTGAACAACTGCCCAGGCGAGCAACTGCTGTTCAGGCCTGGGAACGGGAGCTTAAACTCATGCAAAGCAAATCGGAGATCGAACACCCCAAGGTGATGCTTAAAGCCGAACGCATCAACTAGATCAGCACAGCGTGCACTCAACCAGACAGACAATAAAATGAACAATACCTATCTAATCCAAATATACATAGCAGAATTATAATGCCTCTTACTGTTAGTCAATGAGTTTTTTATTGTGCACACTTGATAGACGTGACGTTTGCTTACACTGGTGACATCTCAAAAGAATCACCCAACTGTACCCAAAGCAGACACGATCAGTACTCGTGCTCCACTATATATATTAGATATGGCTCTTAAGTAGACAAACAGTTGACGTCATGCAGTTGTTCATACTCCTTGCACTCTGCTGCGTAGCGGCCTGCACTAGCGATGCACACGATGTAATGGACAAGCCGTATGCACCTCGCTACACACTCTTGGCCGAGAGCAAAAGAAAGGAACAGGACTTGGCAGCTACACCAAGTGATGTATTTGCCAGTGGACAGCAGCCTTGGCGACGCTTAGCCTATACCGGGCTTGGCAGTCACCCAACTAATTGGCTAGGCTCTACTTCGGCCGCATCCCTCACGGCACCAATTGGACCGGGTCTCCTGCTAATGGGTGTCAATCTAGGGGCTCTGCTCTGCATGCTACTCGGATTACTAGGACTGGCACCAACTCAACGAATCGGCGCCTGGCATGCAGGCGATATTTACCGGAACGATAGACAAAATTTTGGTGATGACAAAGAATCGACATTGTATTTCTGAACTTGAAGCCTTTCTCACAGGTTTACGAACAGCTTATAAAAAAAATTTATTAAAATTTACATAATATATATTATAATGATTATTTAGCGGTTTTATAGAACTAAAATCAGTAAATTAAAATAGTTGAACTTGCAGTAAGAAACGAAATTGATAAACGCTTAACACTTTGCAAATTAGATCAATTATTTCTTTACGCGAAACGAGGCAGCCCGATTTATCCTTACCACTGGCGCCTCCTTGACGCCCGACCCACTGGTGCCGGCAAGACGGGAAATCGGCTTGCGCGCCGTCGTCGAGCTGCCAGCGAGAGCTGCATTAGATTAAATGAAGAATATTTAAATATAAACACAATATTTATTATGTTACTTGTATACTTACTCTTCGCAATTAGCGCACGTGGACTTTTCCGCACACAGTTCGATGGGAACTTCAAATTCTCTTTTTGTATCGCAGCTGCGCATGTGCGCTGCAATCCTTGAGTTGTGAACTTGCTAGACTTGATCAGAGCTGACAGAACAGAAGCATAAAATAAGATTGTTGCACTTATTTAATACATTAGAGCTAGAGCTAACCTTGTTTCATTTTCTCCCTGTCTACAGAGCTGCAGACATTTTGGTCCGACAGCATTTCCGATACCATGCGGTGGTTGACAACGGGTCGAGACTTGGTGACTGTCGCCGTCAACGCCTTGCGGCAGTTCATGTTGTTGGAAATAACTTGAGTGACGTCTAGGTTGCGTGGCTTCTTAAATAATTTCTGCCTGTCGTCTCCACTGTCCGTGTCAGAATCCGTATCTTCGAAACTGTCCACGCCCAGGTGAAGAACAAATTCGCTATTTGTTAATGTGTGCGTATAGCGACGATCGCGACTGCGCTTCTTGGCGCTGCCGGTCAATGCTAATGACGACTCATTCTCCTGCTGCTGCTCAGCGAGAAGCGCATCGAATTCAATATCATTCGCTGATAATTCCGTCTCAGACACTGTGAACTGCATCCTTCGCTCAAGCCGTTCGTATACACCTTGTATTTCTGGGGTCAGCTTCTGTGTCTCTTCTAAGCGGTTGTACAACTGATGCAGGACATCGCACATCGTGGCAAAGGATTTGCGTAGTAGGCTTGCATTTTCCGCTTGCTCATTGTTAATACTGGTTAAATGACTGCAGTTTATCTGCTGCTTTGACAGTTGCACTTCCAGATCCTTGTTACTTAAATATACATTTAAAATTTGGTGGTATTTCGATTCCTTCGCCTCAATTTTAAGTTTTTTTAGATTTAAGCAAGCAAGCTCGAGCTTGCTGCGCCATTGGGGCAGCTCATCGGTATATTTCTGATTTCTTGCGTTTAATGCCGCCAAGTAGTTCGAAAACAAATTGAAGTCCTGCAAAAAAAAAAAATGAATAAATCAATCTTTTTGGCCCAACTTTGTGATTGACCAGCATACTTCGCTTACAGACCAACTAAGTTGGCAGCACTGTCAGGCAAACTAAATATATTTAAAGCAAGTTGGCAGCTTTGCTTTGTATTTTATGTGCAAATGTTAATATTTTAAAAAAAATGCTCGCCAAAACGGGACTGCATTTACGCGCGTTTGGCATTATACTAGCACCTATTCGTCCAAGAATAAGCGCTGTTAGACTAATTCAACAACAGCCGCTGCAGAACCAGCTACTAACGACAGGTGGCGCAGCAACTGTGCTGGGGTTGCAACAGGCGCGCAGTTATGCAAAAGGTAAGGACAGAAAGAAGGAAAAGGGCGGCAAAGGTAAACCTGTTAAAGTTGAGATAAATGAGCAACAGCTGCGGGAACTAATCAACTTGGATGCCCTGAATGCACAAATGGAAAAATCAGTCCTACAAATGAAAGACGATTTCATTAAAAACCTCTCGCTGCGATCTACGAGTGGAGCAATCGACACGCTACGCATCAAAGTGGACGGAGCCGAGCATGAACTACAGGAGCTGGCTCAGATATCACGCAAGAATCCAAAGACGATAATAGTCAATATGATTGCTTTTCCACAAACAATACCGGATGTGCTGCGCGCTATTGAAAAGAGCGGCATGAATCTTAATCCGCAACAAGACGGAACAACACTCTTCATACCTATACCCAAGGTAACCAAAGAGCATCGCGAGCTGCTGTCTAAGAATGCGAAAGCCTTGTTTATCAAGTATCGCGATGCCATACGGGATATACAGAATGCGCAGATACGCAAGCTCAAGAAACAGACGGACATTGGAAAGGATGATGCCTTCGCAGCCCAAACACAGGTCACGGCCATTGCGGACAAATACATTGCCCAAGCAGACAAACTGCTAATTAGCAAGCAGAAAGAATTAAGTGGCGAGGCCTAATGGTTAGAGACTGATGCTGATCAAATTAGAATATTTTTGTGCCCACAAATGTTACTGCCTATTAAAAATACCTAAGTTTATCAGAATAACAGTAACTTTAAAGCGTGATAAGAAATTTATTAGGAACAATTCAAGCAATTTCAAATAAATATCAAAAGAACTGCAAATTGTCAAATTTATGATCACGCTTAAGGACGGGTTACTTAAGTTTATCGTAATACACACCTCTTGTATCAGCCGTTGATCCTGCGTCACCACTTTTCTCAGCTGTTCGAAATCTTTCTTGAGTGTTTGCCGATAGCTGAGGATCTGAATTTTGCTTCGTAAACCAATGACACATTGTTGCAACTTAATCACAGCAGCGTATACAGCATCTATGCGGCTGTACCAAGGCTTAAGCTCCATCATATCGTAGCCACTGCCACTGCTGCTGCTGTTGGAGCGTTCCAATTGTGCCAGCTTGACCTCGAGACCTTTATTGTACTGTAGCAGGCGTTCCTGCTCAGCCATCAGTTCGGTTACCTTTTTCACGTAGAACTCCTTGGGCAGATTTGATTTCAGCACGTTCTGGCGCAGCACAGATCGTATCTTCTTCGCGCGACTGGCATATTTTAGGGTATTGTAGGTGTCTTCATATGTGAGTGAGCTCATGGACACATTAGCTATCATCAGAGTGCGGCAATTGCCGCCCAGCGAGTCCTTTAGGATCCTAGTCAAATTCGAGTCCCGATAGGGTATATGTTTAAGACCATCGGCCAGCTTATTTATGCAGTTGCCTAACGCCAGGAGGCTTTTGTTGATGCTTGCCCCTTCCTTGAATCGCATTCCAAGGCCCTTGGTACTAGCTGCACGTTCACTGCCTGCCAAATCAATCATAGAAAGCTTTACACTCCGCTTAGTGCCTGTATTCAGTTCCGTGATGCGTATGTGTACTTGGAAAATGGCGTGCGATCGCGAACTCTCTGCGTTAGCATCTGTCGGATGTTGTGTGCGGTTCGAATTTCCTATAGTGAGCATGTGAAGCAGCTCTTCCGCACTGTAAATAGGCTTTAGAACTAATCCGCTTACGACTACTCCATTTGAGTCCTCACGTAGCTTTAAAGGGCCTGTTCTTGTGAGCAGGTTCATAACCTGTTCGTTATACACCTCCAAATAGCTGACGCCGACATCGAATTTACGTGTGGCGTTTTGGCTCTGTATTTTATCAAAAAGGTCGCGCATGGTCAGAAATGTGAGCCCTGGACTGTTTTCGCTGCCCAGCATAGTGAATGTCTTTCCTGCACCTGTCGCTCCGTAAACAAACACCGAACAATTGTACCTGCCAAAACAGCGATATACACTTATTAAGGTTCAAATTTCAGATTCATGTTGAGACTTACCCATCGAGCACTGCATCGACCAGCGGCGCGGTACACTCCTGGAACAAGTTGTCGTTTGTGTGATCCGTGTCGTAGACACGATCAAATTCCATAGTTAGTTTTTTGTTTGTACGCTTTGAGATATCTCTGTACTGTTGCTTAGCACCTTGGTAAAAGAATTCGTCGTCCTCCTCATCTGGATCAAACAACAATGAAGATCCGTCCATTACTTTTATTATGCATCTCTGATTTTGTTCTTTTTCCCGCTGATTGTATGGGCGCACGCGTACTATTACTTTAATATTCGTTGGTTCAGGCATGTTTTTAACTTTGTAGTTACACTTTTTGCTTATGGGTTTTATTTGTATTTTGTTTTGTATTTTTATTTTATTTTTGATTTGGTACAGCCTGAATTGGACGTTTTTTTGAGTTGTTTGAATTTTGCTTTGAGGCGTCTTTCTCTCTTCTTCTTTTTACTCAATTGAACGAGCTGTATTTAGAGGGTTGCTTTGCTTTCGATAAATTGATTATCGATAGATATATCGCGCGAGTGTGGGCACTTTGATGCTCCAAGCATTTATTTTAATTTTATCTTTGTGGTGACACTGTTTGCGTCGTCTTCTTAATCGCATATAAAAAGTAAATTTTACAAAAAGAAAGAAAAACTAGCACAAAGAAAAATAAAACACAAATTTAAAAATGAGTTCAAAAGTATTATTCGCATGCTCCAAATGTTTTTCGCGGCACCCGTACGAAGAACTATCCTCGGGCCAGCAGCTATGCAAGGTGAACAAAAAATATCGAGTTAAAATTTTAAAAGACAAATTGCAACAAACAAACAGCATTTCAAATGTGTGTGTACGCATTGTGGCAAGAGCTTAGTATGTGTACGTGGGCTATTGTTTTTGCTACTAACAAAATAAAAATGACGCGACGCTTGCTTGCTTCCGAAAATTCTTGCTGCGCATTAAAAGTGAAAATGAACAGCAAGAGGAAGCAGAGTAGCTCGCTGCGCTGGCTTTGACCCTCTAGCAGTGGCAGCGTCGACAGCGGCACCAGTGACCAATGAAATATGAAGCTCCAAATGCTGTACTGTGCTCAACTCCGAGTCCTATTTAATTCCGGCTCCAGCAATGCTAACAAAATTTGTTTGTCGCCCAAAAACTTGTAATTCATGTAATCCTTTAATTTTCCATTTTCCACAGGTGTGCCGTGGTTCTACCTCAGTTGTTAAATGTACTTACTGCCGCTCGGAATTCCCCTCCGCCTCGTAAGTAAAGTTAATTGATCTATGTTGTATATCTCTCCTATTTCTTTCTGGTTTTCTTTTTTCAATTTACAGCAAATCACAGAGTGCCTGTAAAAAATGCGAACACTATCTGAATAAATACGGAAAGCCCAGTGCTTGCGAGTGCTGCAAAATCGTCGCTGCCTTTGGCAGTTCCAAATGCATGAGGTATGTTAATATTCAATTTCATCATGTAAACTGATGTCTAGTCGCTAATAAAATAAAAAAGATGAAATATTTTCACGAGTAACGTGGCAGCCGCTGTAATTTGAATGCACAATATATAGAATGCTCGTATAAAGTTGAAGTTGATAATCAAATAAATTATATAACGAACATTATGAAGGATACAGAAAAAAAATATATATATATATATATTAACATATATCGCCCACTTCTACCTAACTAATTGTGCCTTCAAAATACAAGAATTTATGCGCGTTTGCCGTGCCCTAAAGTAGCTACTATTGTCTTTATATCTTCAAGTAGCAAATCAAACAAATTAGAAAAGAAAACAACGTCTCTTATGAACGCAAAACATTTTTCTCTCTTCTCTTTTCTGCTCCACGTGTGTGTGCCAAATAAAATGATATACATTTTAACCAAACCAAATATCACACTAACTGCAAACTACAAATAGATGCGCCAGCTACGAGGCTAAGTACGGACCGCCCACACAGTGCGACGAGTGCAAGCTGCGATCAGCCTTTGACAGGCGCGACGAGAACAAAAAGGTCAGCGAAAGAAACAGCTAAAGCCAGCATCAAGGATTGCATCTATTTTAATTTTAAAATATTAAAAAACATAATCTTAAGGGAATTCAATGTGTGTTGCTTAGTAGACTTGTTTCATTGTACAGAGACAAGTATATACACCTGTCGTGTTGCAGTCACGAGAGTCTAGTAGTATTGTATTGCGTTCATAAGAGTGTTGGAGCCATGTGTAGGGCTAAATGTTTAAGTTAAGTTATATTTAATATTATACTCTGTGCAATTATTTGACTTCTTGCAGGTCAATGGCAAAGTCCTTTGCTGGCTGTGTACCTGCGCCTATAAACGCGCTCTCTTGAAGGCACAGCAAGAGGGTCGAATATCCATGTCTAAAAAGCGACCACATGAGAAGTCCTCTTCAACGGCGCATAGAGAAAGTCATGCGTCTGCCAAAAAGACAACACGCGGTGGCGACATTTCCAAAGGCGCTGGCAACATGAATTCCAGCGGTGTGACATCAGTCGGCGGTGCAGGATTGGATCTACCCGATAAGATATCACGCGGTAATGGCGGCAATGGCACAATTGCCGCACCAGCTGCGATCACAATAGACACAAACTCGTCGGACCATGTGGTAGCTATTACATATCTAAAGGAGCGCATTGCCAGTCTGGAGAAGCGCTTGAATCAAAAGGACAAAGAACTTCTCGAAAAGGATAAGCAAGTGAGTGACAATATACATATGCATGATGAATTGTTTTTAATTACTGCAAATATTTACAATTTTCAGTTGACGGAGCTGAAAGGCAAAAACTTTGACAAGGAAAACGAGATGCGCAACAGACTGAAAGAAGTCGAGCGGCTGCATGACATGAAAGTAGATAATTTGAATCGCAAAGTTGCAAGTCTCTTGAAAGAAATAGCTGCTATGAAGAAAAGCACCAACAAAAAGGGCGTTGCTAGCAAAGCTGAAAAGGAAGCACTTAAACGTGAAAATCTATCTCCTAAAGAAGAGATTGTGGCTGCCGCGCCTGAGAAGCAAAGTAAACGTGAGCCAGAACGTGATCTGGATAAGGATGAGAAGAGTCGGGACCGCGATGAGGAACGCAGTGACCAGGAACGTGGCAGCGTGCACTCACGCTCCGCTTCTAGCAGTCCTTCTTCGAACTGAACGCACAGTTAACCCAACGAGCATCATTCACACACACTGGCGCAATCATTCTGTATTGCAGTGTATTTGTTGTAATGATTTTTAGTTTGTCGCTATACACATTTAGACTTTATTACACATATATTTTTAATTGTAACATAATTATTACAATATTGTTTCCTACCATTTTTATGTCAACACATCTCCCCACTCAAATTGTTCTCTCATCTATTCTGTTCTGCCTTCCTTCATGGTAATCACCGACTAGAAAATGTAATTATATAGGCTCAACTTAAAAAATCTTTAGTTTAATTTGCCAGATGAAACAAAAAAAACGAAGATCCATTGTTTACAAACTTAACGAAATATATACAAATTGGGGACGCGAAAGCTATCAAATAATTCTTTTATTTAACTCGATATACGATAACGGCAATAAACAGCGGTTGATTTAATGTGGCTTCGGCTTGTGCCCATCCACGTAGAAATTACGCGTTGCCTTGGGTAGTTCCAATTCCATGCCTTCCATGCTTTTATCGAGCACTATTTGACAGCCGAGGCGGGAGTTTTCTCGCAGAAATGGCGCCATATCCAGCAGATCATCCTCCTTTTCATCCGCCTCGCTTAGATTTTCGAGATAGTTATTCTGTACATACACATGGCACGTTGTGCATGCTAGAGACGCTTCACAGGCGCCTTCCATTTCAATGCCATGCCGGTGAGCCAGGTAAAGAACGTTGTCTCCCACCTTTCCCTGTACCTTGGTTCGTTTGCCGTCTTTGTCAACATATGTTATGTTAACTCTATGTCATGTAAAGAATTACTGCAACATAAATAAATGCAAGCTCGTTGGCAATTACTTACATTTCATCCGGGGATTTTGGGTCCTTCCATTCATATTCGCCGTGTCGCAGCACTGAAAACAAAACAAGCCAAAAATAATTTCATAATCTGCTCGAAGTATTTGTATATAATGTTGAGACGGTTCACTCACATCTTGTGGTGTGTAACGCATTGCTGACTGCATAAACGTGTGATTTTGAAACTTGTTTAATAAGTAATTGACGGAAATTACGCGTATGGTGCAAAAGTAAACAAAACATTTTGTAGGTTACAAGTTATATCTGTATAGCTGTGGTCACCCAAGAACATTAACATTCCTTCACAGTTTCTGGTACCATATTCAATTTCTCCGTAAGAAGAAACTAAATTAGTTTATGTAGTTTATTACAAAACACGGACTAAATTGAAAAACTTGACTAGACAATAACTGTTTAGATTAAAAAATGCTAACATATAATAACATATAGCAAATCAGCTGTTGCTTAAAATGATTGAGTTGTTCTCTATTATAGAGCAGTGGGCCGGGATATTTAATTCGTCCATAATGAAGGGTCAAGTATATTGATTTGATAGAATCTATATGGATTCAAAAGCTGTTGTTACTTATGTATATTTATTTAAATATTTAAGGAATGTGCAATAGCTAACAGTGTTCGATGAGTAAAATCTTTGAAATGAAAATCTGTTTCCAAATAAAAATATGTATTATCTTTCGATAACACATCCAGATGTATATCGAATATTGCCATCTCAGAGACCGCGAGAGATTTAAATTTCCGTTCGGCTTCAGTATTATAGTGATGAGTATACTACATTATTGCATTATGTTTTTATAATGCATTTATCATATTTTTGTCTATTAATGAAAGTGTTAATACTAGTTTGCTGAGCTCAATATTAAAAATTCAATTCTATGTGCATAATGATATAGAGATGAGCAGAACTTTTTAGGTTTAGATATCGGTTATTTAAGTTGCTATTGCTGTGACATACGTGTAACTGGTAGTTCTCTAAGTGTGAAACACTCATCTCTAACGTGAACGTGGAAGAGACTGGAACGAAAAACACACGTCAAAATTCTTAACACTAGGTCCAAAAACAAAATAATAAAGTTTTTAAATGCACTTGATCTAAATTTAAAGGGGTTTATTGAAAGGTTTGTACAACAAGCAGTCCACGCTCAGCTTCAACTGCCAAGTAGCATTACTGCTGACTGAAATTGCACAGCAATAAAATATCAGGCGCAGGCAAAGGCGAAGCCAGCCACGAAAACAATTTACAATCCATAATAAAGTAAAAAGGTAAATTAGTGCAGCGTACCAATACCATGTCAAACAATGCAGTGGGACCCACGAAACAAGAAATCGAGGCTGTGTTTAGTCGCCTGCGGGCGCAACCAGCTAATAAGGTACGATTGAGTTTTAATATAATTTTCAGGCATTAATGGACTATTTTGGATTCTGTTTCTTTTTTGCAGTCATGCTTTGATTGTGCCACAAAGGCACCTACATGGTCATCTGTCACGTATGGCATTTTCATATGCATAGACTGCTCGGCCGTGCATCGCAATCTCGGCGTACATTTGACCTTTGTGCGGAGCACTAATTTGGACACCAACTGGACCTGGTTGCAGCTTCGGCAAATGCAACTGGGTGGAAATGCAAATGCTGCTCAATTCTTCCGCGCCCACAATTGCAGCAGTAGCGACGCCCAAGTCAAATACAACTCGAGGGCGGCTCAACTGTACAGGGACAAATTGGCAGCGCTTGCCCAGCAGGCGATGAAGGTGCACGGCACCAAGGTAGGCAGCTCGTTGCTCTATTTTTGTGACTTGGTTTCTGCTTTGTTTATATTTTGTGCTTGAAGTTTATCGAATACTAAATCCAACTAACACTCGTGTTGCTCTCGCTTGCGCTTTATTTGTATTTTGTTCTCTGTTCCGGCACACTCACACAAACACACGTACAGCTACACTTGGACCCGGCGGCGGATAAAAACGAAGGCAATGAGGCCGGCAGGGAGGACCAGGAGGAGGAAGACTTCTTTGCCCAATGCAACAACAACAACGCCAATGCGTACTCGGAGAACAATAACATTAGAAACACGGCCAACAATGTGAAGGTAAAGCCAACAAAATCACACGCGTTTCTTGCTACAGTTGAAATTAAAGTTGAAGTTGATATCTTAATATTGAACATCAATAATCTTGACAAATTACTAATCAGTCCCGTCATTCCTTGCAGTTGGACGCCAAGCCTGCTGCAGGACCTAACACAAACATTGCAACTGGCGAGCCCAGCGTAGATCTACTGAATGCAGTTGTGCCGCCTTCAGCGATGCCCTCGTCCATAGGTGTACGGAAGATACAGCCAAAGAAGGGAGGAGTAAGTAAATAATGCAAGTAAGCTAACATAGGATTATATACGATCTGAATATTTTCCTTTAAGCTGGGCGCACGCAAAGTTGGAGGGTTGGGTGCGACGAAGGTAACCACGAACTTTGCGGATATTGAGGCGCGTGCCAATGCAGCAAATGAGAGTAAAACAGCCGCAGCTACTTCTGGATCCATTGAGAAGACCCAAACCGCAGAGGAGGAGATGGAAACTGTAGCTAGCATGCGTTTGGCATATCAAGACCTGTCGCTTCAAAAGACACGAGAGGAAGCTAAGTTAAAGAGCATCGATCCCGCCAAGGCGAAACAAATGGAGAGGTTGGGTATGGGCTTTAGCTTGAGGGGCTCTGACGTGGCGCACTCCGCTTTAAGTGACATGGAAACCATTCAGCAGTCAGCTGCTCCTAAAGCCAGCACTCAGAGCAAACTGGCTGCACTGGAAAATGACAACTTTTTTAATGATCATTCTCTGAATTTGTACGGAGGCGGTGGCGATAAAAAGGAGAGCACCAACACCGCCAGCAAGTTGGACAAATTCGAATTGGATGCGTTGGGTTATGAGACAATTGAGCCCATTGGAACAACGCATAGTAACATTACGTCCATGTTTTCCGCCAATAATGACTACGACAAGCCCAATCCAAGGAGCACCGCAGCAGCTCCCAACAAGAGTAAAAGCAAAAGCATTAACCCTAATGATCCCGTTGTGGCACAGCAAAAGTTCGGCAACTCTAAGGGATTTGGCTCCGATCAGTACTTTGCAAGCGAGCAATCCTCGGCGGATATCAGCGCCAATCTAAATCGTTTCCAGGGCTCGCGTGCAATATCTTCCTCTGATTACTTCGGGGATGGCACCCAAGGTGGTAGCATGAGCAATCGTGGTAAAATCCCCTTTTAGACAAAAAAAGTTATTTTTTATATGCATATACTTGCTTATTTGCAGGCAGTGCTGGCTATGCGACTGGGGTGAACTTCAATGCACCGGATCTGGACGATGTAAAGGAGAGTGTGCGTCAGGGCGTGCACAAGGTGGCCGGACGGCTCAGCAACTTGGCCAACGATGTCATGACTTCACTGCAAGACAAATATGGTTACTGATAGAGCAACAACAGCAATACCACTCGGAGTTAATCATTACGTTTTATATATAAATCACTCCAATTTAGTAATATACCTAAAAAGTTATAAATAATTCCAAGTCAACAGCTGTGTAGCGTTGAAATATAGGATCAGTTTCAAAGGGGCTCTTGTTAAAAAAAGGAAACCTTGATGTTACATGTAGTGTCTTCAAAATCCATATTACAGATATATGCATTGCACATTCGTGCACTATATGCTGAATAATAAGCAAAGTTAATTAAACACATTATATCGCAATTGTGGAACAACCATTAGCTTTTAAGTCAAATTGATAGCTACTGTTTTTGTATGAAATTTTGTTTTATCTTTATTTTCTTATTTTTATATGAAGCATTTATCGTTTATTAATCTATAAAATTGGTTCCCAATAAGGTTTGATCTTTGTTTTATATGAAATATATATATATATATATATATATATATATATATATATATATATATATATATATATATATATATATAGAGATAGAAAGTAATATATGAAATAAATTGGAAATGCATTGCGTGTGGCAAAATTGTTTTTCCACTAGTTAATCAAATATGTTTTTTTTTAACAGAAAGAACTTTTATTGAAATGCGCTCAGAAAGGCTTAAAATTTGGCTAATAATTACAAAACTCTTTGATTACAGACTCGGCGCGGACTCAAAGTTAAAGTATCGTTGCATCGCCTGATGCGTTAGCAAGAATTGGTGGTAAGTATTCAAGTGACGTCGCAATGGGGATGAGCGTCAGTCGTGAAGCTATGCTATGGAAGCAACAGATTAATGGCGACGCTTGCTGGGGTTGGGACGGACACGAGCGCGAACTGCATCCGGAGAGCCGTACGCGATGGCGTGCGAGGTGGCAGAGCCGCCCTCACCGGTGCTGAACGAGTTGGCAATGGCAATGGCGCCACCGTTGGTGCCACCGAAGTCAATTGGGAAGAAGGTTCCGGCGGGCAGAGGAGCAGCGGGCTTCTTTACTGGCTTGCCAGCAACGGGGACGGGCTTCTTGGCAGCAGGACGGCGAGCGTTGGGCACACGGGCAGGGTACTTAGCTACGGGCTTGACGGGCACGGCCAACTCTTCCTCATCCTCTTCAACATCATCGGCAACAGCATTCTCGACCTCCTCATCCTCAAAAGCAGCTACTTGGGCTTCCTCAGCATCCTCAGCAGACTGGTCCAGCTCAACGATCACCTTCTTCTTGGCGGGCAGATAACGGTTGGTGGGAACGATAGCGGCAACGGGTGCAATTGGAGCTGGAGCGGGCAGCGCATCATCATCGGCGCCAATCTGGGCAACAGCTGGCTCTGGCACAGGTTGTTCAACGGCTGGAGCAGCTTCCTCGGCGGCAAAGTTAAAGTCACGAGGTACCTTGGCGGCATCATCGCTTTCAGCCTCAGCGGGTTGAGCTTCGGCATCGACGCTGTCACTGCTATCAATGGCGATCTGGACGACAGGTGCTTCCTCAGGATAGGCTTCGGCCACGGAACTGGCACCATGAGCACCGGCTGCGCTCAAGACATCATCAGCCTGGGCACTCTCTGCGCTAATGCCATCGGCGTTGACTGCCAACTCGGACTCTGCGTGATTGCAATCTTTGTTAGATAAACAGGAAAATTTCGGGTTACTTGGGACTGTTAGTGGATGATGACGAGGTGGATATGTGAATGTGTGGATATGCTTACCCTTTAGATATGTGCCTGTGGCAACAGTTTCGCCAGCCACAAGTGCGCTGGCCGCTTGAGTGGAGCGCGCATGCGTGCGTCCTGGCTGCACATACTGCATGTACATAATCCTCTGCTGGGGAGCAGATCCGTACCACTCGGCCGCGGCGGGTTGCTGATAGTAGACCATTCCTGGAACAAAGTATTGGCGGTCTTCAGTGGAAACGTGTGTGTACAAAGATGTCATGCGTATGGATGGTTTATGTGAATGGAACGAAACGATATGACAACAGAATTATGAATACGAATATGAATGAGTAAGAGCGAGATTTAAAATCTTCTAAACATTTGATGCTCAATTCGAGATGAGTAAGATTATATATTCTTGTTATATATTCATGCTTCACGTTGATCAAGACATTGAATTCTAAAAGGATCTTCAAGTATAAAAGCATTAAGAGGCTCCTTGGTGTCAAGAACTTAGGGAGTTGTTAATTAGCTTTACATATTTTAAAGGTTTCTTAGTTTTATCCTTGAAAGCTTCACTTTTGTAACTCACTTTTCCTGGCTGGCAAGGCATCGCCGCTGGCCACAAAGCCGACGATCACCAACAAAGCAAATGCAACACTGAACTTCATGTTGAAACTGATGTTTGGGTATTTAAAAGTCTTAAAAGTCCTTTGATTTATGTCAAATTAGTAATGTTGAACTGTTTTTGTTTGCGGACGCGCACTGATCACAGCAGGAGCTAAACTTGACACTTAAGTTTCCACCAAAGAAGTGATGATAGCTCAGCGCAACGCGTTAGATTTATATACGAAAACAGATTCGCAAAAAATACTATAAAACGAGCATAATGAGCTGTTGCTAAAACTCGGATATACCCAAAGTAGAGCCTCAGCGCCCCTGCTTAATATGCGGACTGTGTTCTTGCTGGAATCGAGTCGAGTCGAGTAGAGTCGAGTCGATTCGAGTCGATGCGAGCTGCCCGAACGTGCGAACCGCCCGACGGATCATTGGGTTGCCTCAGCTGAATTTGGATTATTGAATTGTATTGTAGATGATTGGAGACCGGTTCCCTTATTATCATGTCAACAGTTTAGCTGTCCTACCTGTGAGCAATACGAGCATAGCCTAGGCATAGCCATAGGCATAGGCATTAAGTATTTTCAATTGATCCTAACTCAATTAGGTAAGCAAATATCAAGCACACATGTTGAACGTAACCATAAAAATTGCCAATTTAATTTTAAGGTCATTTCGTAGACCCGTGTACAAGAAATCGAGGTTTATGGGTGCGTGTGCGCTTTATCGCCGTTGATATGCTGATAAAAGAGAGCCGCTTAGAGAATTAAATTAAGGCCCAAAGACATGCAGCGCATTAATAAGCTGCGAGATGGCCAACGGAATCGAGCCAACCGAGCTCAAGTCCATAACGGAAGAGGAAACCTGCATGGAACCCTGTATGATTCATCCTGGTTAAAAAATGAAGCTGCTGTCTCTTTAATTATCGTCAACTCTTGCAGCTCTGCGTTCCACGTCTCCTCTGGGCGCCAGCTGCTTCCTTTTAAAAGTCAATTATTGCAGTTACCCTCACATCAATATCACGACGTGCATTCCATCATTAATTGAGCTTTGTCTGACGGGAGACGTGGCGCAGGTCTTAACGGCTGTTGTCTTCGGCTGAAGGCTTCTTTCAGCACCTTTTTTCGCTAGATTCAATTTTCATATGCATTAATCATACTCAACGCCGTAATATAACTCGCATGAGCCAGCCTTTTCTAGCTGTAAGTGTGCCTGCTCCAAGGATTGGTGTACGAGGGCTGCCCATATATTCATGCTCTAGTCAGGTCTTATGTTTTCTCAATTTCTATTGAACAGTTTTAGGCAGTTGAAGGTTGAAACAACATTTCGAAAGATTTTCTACCAAACTCTTGATAAAGTACATTGAACTCTATGAGTGGCTTATAAAATATATGGATTCATTTTGATCGCCGATGTACAGTCATTAAATGTCAATCTCACTTAATGTTATATATCTATCTAAATATATATTATACTAATTATTCATGATATCATTATGTTTGCATTATCATTATTATCTTATTATTCATATGCTTAAATATGGGATCAGATAAATATATTATACATTTTATACATAATATATACATATTATACGGAATAATTATAGCCACAGACCGCAGATGTCATACGAAATGTTTGGAAATTTGTAACTAATTTCGCATGCGTGTAATGATTTTTTCCATAAATGCATAAATTAAAATCGTCTCATTGATTGAATATGTTAGAAATGGATAATATTCTAGGCATGCCGCAATAAAACAAAATTCGAAATTAGAAAGCTTTAAGGTCTTGAATGACCAATCAGTCAAGGAAGCTTCGAAAGAATGCGTTAACATGGCGCTGCCACACGGTTAAAGGTGCAAAATCAATTTGAATAAGGCTGTTAGATATGCATATTGGATTCCCATTAAGATGGCATAATGATGCACGAAATGATATCTGAATCGCTTCGCAAGTAATTTGAATTCAGATTAAGATGTAGAAGAGGTAAGCCCAGGCTAGTTTTCAGTTTAGATCATAGCGACAGAAGCGTAGAGCCTGGGTCTATTTGACAGCCAACCAAGCAAGTTATGGCCAAGTCAGTCTCAATTTATATTTGGTATGTGTATTATCTAGTAAGTATCTTCAGCTGAGTTAAATGTGTATTTGGAATCGTAACAAGGCAGAAAATTGTTCTTCCATAAAATTAGGGTGCAGATATTAATCGTTGCTGTCGTAGCAATTTCATAAGTGGGAATTTCTATTTATCTCAGCGGCTATATGATTTAGCCAAGAAGCATGCCTAATTGCCAGTTTTTATGCTAATTCTTTTTCGAATAGAAAAAAGCACGAGCTTGTGCTTGGCATGGTAATGGCCATAGTTAAGAGTGTTCTACGCACTAGTTTTGGTCAAAGACAAAAAACAGCAGCCAGCACAAATTTTAATATCCTGTTGAACACCTGTTTATTTTTGTCGCTGCCACTTGCTGGGCATTTATGCAAATCGCTGTCCACTTGTGAAGCAGTTAGCTATTTACGTTTCATTTAATACCCGAATTTAGAACACCCAAGACCATTAAAATGAATATCCAATGCACTAGATAGCCTAGACCCAACCCGAAACCCGGCCACAGCCACAATATAACAGCTTGTTTTGCGGCAAAAAGGTGTATCTACATATATAAATATATGTACACAAAATAACAAAACAAAAGTCAACTTAATGTACGACATTATTGGCGATACGCCTCCAGAATTTCAATTGAAGTTTACGCGGTGCTTTAAAAGCAATTTGGCTGCACAGTTGCCACGGCCGATGTTCAGATGCCAAAAGTCGAGCAGTGGCTCTGGCACTCTTTGGCCAGATATGGACTTGCAGTACAATTAAAATGGTATTTGGTTGGCTCCCTGCGTGAATATGTATATTTGATATTATTTTAATGTACAATTAAATGGCACATGCTGTCCAAATTGTGTTAAAAAAGCTATATATATATTCGCACACAGCTGACATTTTACACTTGGCATGCGGTTTTCATCGGGGCGCCACGTTCTCGGTCATGAGCGACATTTCATCCCGCCTGACAATGCAATTAATCAACGCAAATTAAAATAAACTTAATTTTATTCAGCCGTCATTGTGGTGGGCAACACTTTTCTTATTTAAAATCCAATTGGATGTTAAGAGGTGCACCTGTTGTGGAATTTAGCACAGGTGTGATATGTACCGTGCGTAAGGTAAGTCCATTTTGTGATCTGCTTAGACTCACTTTTTGCTATGATATACCATTATGTGCTGCTTTTACATAGTGAGCAAGTAAGAACCGACTACCTAATACTCGCTCACGATTCAAAAACAAAATATTACCAAATCGATATTTTGGTTAGTTAATGAAGAAACCAGAAGATATTCCCCTAATCAAATTGTAAATGGAAAATCAGGGTAAAATGGTTTTGTTTCTAATTCTACTTAGCACATAAGCTCATATCATTTCATACTATATATAAGAGTTAATATTGCAAAATTCAAATCTGTGCTTTGTTCTTAAGTGAATAGACTCATGGATGTCAAAGCGCCCATTGCCCGAAGCCAATACACTCTTTTCACTACGTGAACAAGCCTGAGTAGTAGTAGAGTATTATATAAGAATGCCTGCTAGCATTGATGACTTCAGTCTTTCGCCTGCTCTATAGAGCAGAACTTTGCCTACGTACAGTCTTTAGTCAGTTTATCATTTTCACAAAAGCTAATTTCATTGAATGGAAAAATGCCACCTCTCACGTATGATTTTATGTACCTCTGTTTATCATACATGTAAACCTTTAAGTAGAGGGTGGCATTTGAGGCTTTAGGGTGATCTGCATAGCTTTCTTAACCAAGTATTATTTTTACGTGTTCATGCAACATTTTTAATTTGCAAATAAAGAAACTTTCATTTCATAAGATGTTCAGCCACAAGCTGCAGTTCCATCGACTTTTCTTAGCAGCTCATTGAGTGGTTCGACCCTTCGATTTGTCCTAAATCATTTTCAGCTCTATCAGAAATGAAATTGAAATGAAGCAGGTGTCTTATTTTTGCAAAGCGATAAATTCGTATAAAAGAGCCTTGCAAAAAAAAGCCCCACACTCAGCTGCAACCACAAGGCGCACACTGCACAGCTGCTCGTAGCAGTGATTAAGTGCAGTCCATGGCCAGTGTATGTGATGGCAGCCGGATACGGACTTTCACACTTCCGGGCGAGCATCCAGCCTTAGCAATGGTCATTTTTCTCGCTGCTTGTCACTTGAAAGTTGGCAATTAAATATATGTATGTGTAGAGTATTCTCGTTGTTGCTATTTTTTATTTTGTCTATGCAATTTGTGTGTGCTAAAATTACACGAGTGAAGCGACCTGCTAGACTTGTAGATATCCTGTATTTAGCTAGTTGCACAAGCTGCCGAAGTTGATCTGATTCTTTGAACAAATCATACATAAAATTTGCATTATTATATTTTTGGAGGCGCCCAACTAGGGAGAAGTCATTTCCAATAATTCTGTAAACTCTGCTTCGATTCATAGAAATATGTGCAATTATGAAGGCTGTTACTTAGTTAACAGTGAGAGTTACAATTATTATCAATTGCTGTCGAAATAAATAGGATATATTGCTTAGCTTGCTCGACTTGCAGATACCCTTCAACTCAATAATTATTATTAAAATTATGTTGTATTTTTACCTCACGATCTACATGCAATACAGGAGGAGTGAAACACTAAGTTTATCTTTGTAGTGATACATATTGAATTTATCTAATGCGTATATAATTGTTAATTAAAATGATTGAACGATTGCCTCATGGAATATTTTAAATGAATTTAGTAAACGTAGAAAAAACGATTGATTCACTTTTCCATTGATCTGCAGTTGTGATAAAAGATAAAACTTTAAATTCTTTCAGATGTATGTTCACAGTCAGGTCTGAAATAAATCGATATATATATATATATATATATATATATATATATATATATATATATATATATATATATATATATATATGTATATATACAAATATGTATATTCACACAGAGTTGAAATTAATTTATTTTAAAGAATTTTAAATTTTTTTTAGTTATTTTTTGTTAAAATATATATATATATTTTTATTTATAAAGATTAAA